CCGATTACCCGACCCGATTACCCGGCCCGATACCCGACCCGATAAATATTAAAAATAATTATTTTTTTATATATAATATTAATAACATATTTTAAATTAACACTTAAATATTTTTTATTATTTTTTTCACCCCATACTACCCCACTTTAAAACATCGTCCCCGTTTCAATTTCTAGAATTTACCTCAATTTTCGCTGTCTCATAATATTCTTTTTTTCTTTTAATCGTGAAAATAGTGCTTACACTTCTAATTTGCAATCACGTGTGAACCTTTAATATCTTTTAATAGACAAACGTTGTCTAGTTAAATGGGAAAAGTCTGGTTGGTTTGGTGGTATTGTGCCACTTCCAACGAACGTGTACTTGCTGCAGGGTCCTCGTCCAGTACACCATTACACACCTGAAGCCCACCACTAGCATTAGCAAGCTGGAACTTATGTCCAGCAGAATTTAAAATCAATGCAACTTGCATATTGTCTTCGTCTCTTCGACATCAACCCTCATTTTCACCTCGCAATCCAATAACCTCATACAAGCTGTCTCCATTACACAAGCTTTAACGTTCCTCTGACAAAGCGAAGCATGTGAATTAGCCATATTAAAATCAGCCTCGGGACCTATACCAACATCACGTTCTTCCCTAGCAAATGGAATAACAGCTGCTCTCCAGTATTAAATTCAAAAATTCTAAAAAATTTCGGTTAATTCAAAAATTAACCGAAATTTATTCGGTTCGGTTAATATTTTCGAAAAAAAAATTTGGTTCGATTAACAGTTAAAGAAAAAAAATTCGGTTAATTCGGTTAATAGTAGTTCGGTCGGTTCGGCCACCGAATTACCCGAATGAACAACCCTACCGATACCCGTTTAAATAAACGTTTATGCTAAACGGAGATACCCGATTCCCTACGGTTTTCCCCAATTACCCGATGGGGATCCCCGTTTAAATCCCCGTGGTTTTTTAAACGGGGACGAGTATCTGTTTTTTAAACGGGGACGGGGACGGGGGGACCAATACCCGGCCCGAACCCGGCCCGTTGTCATCCCTACTTAGCCATGTGGGATTATTTTGTTCTCATATTTTCACTCTTTAAACTTTTAGGATATTCATCTATGTTTCTTAGCCATGTGGGATTGTTTTTTTTTTAAACAATTAAACCAAATGACATCATTTGTTATGATTTTTTAAGTCCTAATTTTAATTTTTTATTATAGTTATATAATTATATTTATTATTTAATATGTTTTAGCTTAAATATTATGTTGTAGTTGATTTGAATCATTTGTTTCACTTGATTTTATGGTTTTTCATTTATACATGTTATGACTTGTGATATTTTATACTTTTTAATATTGTAAACTTAAAAAAAGTGTTACATATACATTAATATTACTTTGAATATTATGTAAAATTAAAAAATATATTATTTTATATAAAATCCGGTTCAACCGCGGTTGAACCCGGTTGAACCAGTGAACCTGTACCTTCACCGATTCAATGTCCCGACCCGAAATAATAAAAAATTTTTTATTTAATAAAAAACAGTTACTTAATCCGAAACACATGAGAAAGTGATGAAATTGAATTCCAATTCTCACCAATTTCAAGGGATTTCATCCAACCGAACGCCACCTAAATTCTTAAAATGCAATAACTGGTTCAGGGTCTCAACATCAGAAGCTAGCATCCATTAAAATAACATACATGATTATGGGGGAGGGATTATTTTTTATTTTATTGTTGCTGTCATGTCATGCTATCGTTTCAAAGGGGGAATTTCATGTATATGACTTTGAACCTAGCCAGAATTGTGGGTTAGATGAAGAATGGGTATAGATCATGGTAGGTAAAGGTGATATCGGTTGTGCCCGGATACGGATGTGGTTCAAGTGTGTATATTCTCTTGGAAGTTGTTCAAAGTGAGATGTCCTCAAAGGTGTACTACGCAGACATGTAAAGCTCTTTTCTTTTTTCCTTCCATTTTCGAACCCTGTATAAATAACAAGAGCTGGCAAGAAATAGGAGAAAGGGTGTGTTAGGTGCCAACTGGAGTTCCCTCAGGCACTTCAGTTCGACCTCAAAACCTCTCTGAAGTGTTTGGGGGAACTCTGGTTGACATTTGAGCCGATTAAAATCAGGCCGAGAGCGTCGACTCTATGTATGGCTGGTGGTTATTACTTATTACAGGGACGAGACAGCAGTTTTATAGCTCGATGGCATACTGACTCACAGATGGATTCTCCGATGATTGTTGCGCAACTGCAATTGAAGATTTTAGTCAGAATAAGGAGGTTGTGTTGCCCTTGAATGAAACAAATAAGAGGACTTGAGATTGTTTCCTCGTTCTTTTTCTTAAACTTTAATGAATTCTTCATGCTGACACTTTTTGTTCATAACCTCCTCTCATCCCCGTCAATTGAACAGGTCTTTCAAGAGAAACACCAGATTGCTGAAGGTAACTTAGCCCTTGCTTTAAATGGTGTTGCAACCAAAATTATAAGAGATAGAGCCACCGGAAGGTCAAAGGGGTTCGCTTATGTTACGTATATGTCCATCGAAGAAATGAATCCCAAGTTTTTGCATGGATGGGGCTAAAACTAAGGTAATTCAGGCCCTCCACCGAGATCAGAATCTGAGCTTTATGAAACAGGTGATAGTAAAACCTACTAATACTATATAGGACAAAAATTAATAAATTTAATCGAAAAAATATCAAAATAATGTATAAAAAAAATCAAAGAACTTGATTCGTGCTTTCAAGGGGATCATATCCCGAAAGAAGTCAATCGGACTGTTATTGTGTTAATTCCTAAGGTTGAAACTCCTGAAACCTTCTCTCAGTTTAGACTGATAGTCTATGCACAATCACTTATAAAGTGTTAACAAAAGTGATTGTCGATAGATTGAAACCTTTCCTGCCCTGCTGGATATCGCAAACGTAGTCTAGTTTTCTGCCGGGACGTTCTATTATAGGTAATGTGATTTTAGCTCAAGAGGTTATCCATTCAATGCGAAAGAAGACTGGAAAGAAGAGGTGGATGGCGATCAAAATCGACTTTGGTTTGAATGGAGTTCCATTAAAGACACATTGGATGACGCTAGGCTCCCTACTGACTTGGCTCGTTTGATTATGGAGTGCATTAGCTCGGTGTCTTCACAAATTCTTTGGAACGGGGAGATGAGCAACAGTTTAAACCGTCCCGTGGGATTAGACAAGGGGATCCTCTATCTCCCTATATCTTTGTGCTTTGCATGGAACGACTCTCCCAAGCTATTGATGACCGTGTTCAACGAGATTCTTGGAGGAAATTTTAGACAATTTTTGCATGGTGTCCGGGCATAGAGTTAGTGTTGCTAAAAACTCGAATCTTCTTCTCTAGAAACACCACTCCGAGCATTAGGGAGGAGATTACTTGTGGATTTGGGTTTGCAGAAGTTCAAGACCTCGGAAGTACCTCGGAGTACCTTTGTTACATTCGAGAGTTACCAAACGCTGCTTATGAGTATCTTTGTTACACCGGTTATCTGAGTCATATGACGACAGATAACCGGTGTTGTATACGTAAAAATGGATCTGAAGACGTTCTTCATGTACTTCGAGATTGTCCTAAAGCTTGAGATTGTTGGAGGAATTTGATTCATCCGTTAAGGTCTCGAGTCGAGCTCAATTTTGAGTCGAGTCAACCCGAATTAAATTTTGACCGAGTCGAATACAAACTATTTACGAGCTGCTCAATTCATTAAGTACTCTTAATCTGTACTCATTTTAATCGGAGCTGTTATTTGTATTGCGCTCAAGTTGTACTCATTTTAGTCCAAGCTTGTGAATAACTAAAAAAATTATTATTAGTATTAAATTTTAAAATTAAATTACTTGTAATATTAACATTTATATGTTGGTTTTTTTGGGGAAAAATATTATAAGGTTTTTGTGTACTTATGCTTCAGTTTTGAGATCAAGTTGGAGTTTCAACAGAACTAAATTTGAGAATACTTCAAGTTCAAGTTTTTAATGTTTGAGCCAAATTTGAATTAAACTTGACAATTAAAAACTTACGAACTTTCGAATCGAAATCAACTTTTAACTTTTGTACCATCGAGCTCAATAATACTCAAACTTGACTCATCTCATTTACAACCTTATGAGTGTGTGATGAATGAACCGAGGGGAGGTGGTTGCACCCCTTAAATTTTTCTAATTCTCTTATATTTTAGATTTTTCTATATTTTTATTAGTAATCTAATTTTTTTTGAATGAATTAATTTTATTACCCAAAGAAAGCAGTAATTGCTACAAAAAACCGATCACAAAAATATATATGTACAGTCAACTTACAACAAGAAAAGATCGGTTTAATCAATACCCCAAGAGTTACAAAGGAAAGAGTTAATATTATCATTCCTATTAATAGTTTTTCCTCTTAATTTGATTGCAACAACTTCTTTGATGCAAATGAAGAGATCTTCAGCAGTTCTTGATCGGTTTTGAAAAATTCTTCGATTGTGTTCCTCCCACATAACATAGATTGAAGCACACCAAGCAATTTTTAGAATAGTTATAATGAGAGACTTGCCTTTCCATGTGTTTGTAGCCCAAATAACCATGTCTTCCCAAGCTGAAACATATTTCTTTATCCCATTATGTGAAAGTAATCTAATTTTGCATTCAACTCTACCCGTAAAAATTTTAATATAACTTCTTAAATTCGCACTCCGTCGATAAATTTCTACATCCATCGTTGTATGTTGCATCTTATAATTTGTTTTGATGTTTTGAGTGGATGGATTATGCCTTACACTTTGAAGGCTATATTTGTGGAGGGGGGTGGGGAGGCCAGAAGCAGAGAATTTGACGCCATTTATATGGGGATTTAGAAGGCACATTCCTACACAGCAAATGCCTATGTTAGTTCATAAAGGTAAATAAATAACAAGGGCATAAGATTCCAATACATCTCAGTCCATCTCATTGAAGTAAGCATTAATCCATTATATTTTACAAAGCCAAAGATAGTTCAAGTGCTGCCAATAATACACAGCACAGTGACAAAACTTCCAAAAACCCACACCATAATAATAAGTATACCATAGCACAATCGCAATTTAAAGCAACTGTTTGAATTCTCATACCAGAGAATGCAGGAAAAATTAAGGTTTATTTATCTACATGGATCAGTTTAAACCAAGGGCCTTCCTTATAGAGCCTCCCCCACGGAGTAGTGCATCGTAGTCGGAGATGTTTTCAGAAAAGTAGTCCCACAATAGGGATCTGTAGTACCATCCTTAAACACATCAAGGTTGCCTGAGGTGCCGGCCTCGAGTGGTTTATAGTCATACCACCGATCCAAACTTGCAGCGCCTCTGCGGGAGTGTTTGTGGCTTTTACCGCCACCATTACCACCACGAGAGTAGTTGTTGCCCTTCTGCACTTTCTTTCCATTTTTCTTCTTGTCATGGTTCTTCCTCGACCTCTGGTGCTTTTTACCTCTAACCGTGTGCGATACGGATGTCGGCAGAGGATCGTACACATCAGGAGCCCATGTCACTCTCCGCTCCTTTGATGGTAATCCCTGTTTTTCACGGCTACCTTTAAGGGCAGACACTAGCTTCAATGAAGTCTGTTAAAGGGTAAATGCAAGTAAGAATAGAGGGTAACTTTAACTGAACCGAAGATCCAACTAAAATTTCTACGAATCTAACAAGAGCCTTCATCCGATCAATCGATAGCACAAAGTTAATCCTATAAATACTGCATTCATCAATCTTAAGAAGCTTCTAAAGTAAGCAGAAAACCTCTAGAATTTAAGAAGAACCAAAGACACTTACTGAGGAGCATGGTGACTTCACCGCGTCCTCGGAGAATATCCACCTCAAAGAAGTTCCAATATCATCGTCTTCAAGAGGAGAGGCATCAGAAGGAAATGATACAGGCTTGCTTTGATGTCCCAGCTCAAGTAAATCGTCCGCATTACTCGAATAGCCGCCATCACATTCATTATCATACTCATTCAAGCAAACATGAAGTATTGCCTGATTAATCTCACTTACATCATCTACCTCTTTAGAACCCAACATGTCCTTCTATAATACCAGTGAATACAAAGAGACTCCTAATTAGCTGCAAAAAATGATAGTCCACCATTGTAACAAGTTATGGGAAAGAACTATCATACTCGGTACAGATGGCATAATGTACGTAATTTAATTCAAAATTCAAGCTGATTTTTTTTTTCATTTGATTAATCAATATCAACAAATAAGCTGGATAAAAACAAATTTGAAAATAAAATATTAGTGGGATTCATTCTTTGATAAGTAATATACATCAAAATGTAACTTAAACCAATTAAATCATCCGTAATAAATAACCCTAAACCATAAATACTGCTGAATGAATAAGAACAATATACCTTTCTTAAGGCGGCTACTGAAATCAATTGAGGAGCTTTAAACCTCCCGAAAGAGCAAACCCCAGATCACGATCGAAACCAATCCTTGGATCTTCCAAACAAACCAGGTTCCCGCTTATCGCTCGGTAGATCAGAGGAATCGAGAAGAAGACGAGGGAAAATAGATGGGAAACGAAAGGAAAAAGTAGAGATGGAATAAAGAAGAGTGAAACTGAGGGGAAAACGTCAACTAAGATTACCACGACGATCGCTCTTTTGAAGATGTTTCAAACGATGGGAACATAAACATAAACCGGCATGAAAAAGGGTCAAAGAAGGGATCGAAGGGAGGAAAATCGGTTCAAAGGGTAACGAAGGCATATTATCTTCCTATGCTCTTCGTAGCCCCCAAATTGTGTTGAGAGAAAAAGACCCTATCTTTCTGTTGTTTTCGTGCTTTTTGGATCGACTGAAGAGAAACCCATACACAGAAGGATGAGATATATAAGAAGCGGAAGAAAGCAAGACGGCGAAGGGATAGGCGAAGGACAAGCAGAGAAAGGTCAACCGTCGATGAGCGACCAACAATAGAAACATCAAATGAGATCTCTTTTTAGATATTTTTACTTCAGAGATTAGCTGTAAGACTCAATAGAGATTAGCTGTACGTGAGGCCCAATCAGGAAATTACACGACTCACATTATTTAGATTTTTTATATATATTTTTACTTATAAATACATTTATATTTTAATTTTACTCACACATATATATATATATAATTTATTTTTAAAGATTTAGAGAAATAGTTGTGTATTGTATAAGAGAAAAATTAGGTCCAAGTCTTTGTTTGATGTTGATGATGTTTGCAGTTTTTGAAGCCTAAATCGAAAAGAAATTAAAATTACAATGACCAAAATAAAAATTTTGAAAATTTTATAGTATGTTAATACATAAACTTGCAGAATACTTTTTGATTTTAACTATCTGCCTTTAATATTTTAATTAATTATTTTAAATCGAATTTATATAAATATTTATAAAAGTAACTCTCTGGATTGAATTTTTAATTCATTTATAAACGTACAAATTAGAACTTATAATATTTATCAAATTTAATTTTAATATTTCAATAATGTTTGAAATATATTTTCTGAATAAATTAATTTTTAATTTAAAAGCAACCCTCGGATTGATGATGTGGCATATTTAAGTCGGTTAGATTTGAGGTGCACATTTGTTATAATATTATTAGGGTAAATTACATATTTAGTATTTAAACTATCAATTTTTTTCTTTTTTAGTATCTATATTTTTAATTTTTTAAAATCATACTTAAAGTTTAATTTTTATTTCCATTTAGTACCACTGTTCAAAATTTAACGTTAAATTTAAAAAAATATATTAAAAATTTAAGTACTAAAACAAATCAAAATTGATAATTTAAGTACTAAACATATTCAGTTTTTAATAGTGAGATACTAAAATGAAACAAAAACTAAATATCATGTATTATTTTAAAAAAAATTAAAATTTATGTATTAAAATGGATCAAAATTGATAATTTAAATTCTAAATATATAGTTTACCTTATTATTTAATTAAATCAAGGAAAGGGCCTATGGATTTGGATTCACTTCTACATACACCATGTGATCATGTCCAAGTCTCCGACAAAATCCAATCTCAAATTTAGGAGAGTAGGGATAAAATTATTATGTTTAAAAAAGAAATAAATCATTTAAAATTTAAAATTTTTATTATTTAAGATAATATTTTTTATAACTTTTTTAATAGTTAAATTGAAAAATTATTTTATTCAAAAAATTATTAATTTACTAATAGATAATAACAAATAATAAATTACTAATCTATTAATTTTTTAATAAATAATTAAAAATACTAAATTATTAATTAATAATTATTATTTTACTACACTCAAAAATCAAACTCTAATTATTATTTTAATATATTTATGGATTCTTATTTTGGTATTTAGACTTTGAATTTGTTTCCTACATTCTCTTTATTTTTTTTGTTTAATTTATTAATTTATTTTTATATTATGTTTTATATAGTATTAGTAGATTTTACTTATAGTTAAAAATAAAATTAAAATTTTGGTGAACTTAACGAGCAACTAGGCGAGCAATAAGCTTAACGAGTAACGAGTCGAGTAACAATTTTTTTAACTAGCACGAGTCGAGCAAAATTTTCAAGAACTTAACGAGCAATGAATCGAGTCGAATAATAAAATTCTTTAACGAGCATGAATCGAGTACTTCCTAATTCACGATCGACTCGCTCGATAATCACCCCTAATTGAGACGGTAAGAATAAGTAAAAAGACCATCATCATTGAGATGTCATTAACCACGAGCTTCATCAAGAGAAAAACCAAAACGACATAAAATGAAACTTGAATCAATCTCTTGTTTAAGACATGCCAGGGAAACCCAGGGCAGTGAGGGCGATTGATATAAGTCATCATCGTCAACAATGGAGTAGGGGAACTTTTTCTTTTTTATATATAGAAAATCATTAGTTTTATTAAAATAGAAAATATACATGCAATCAAGATTTACAAGCATAATCGTAAACATAAATTAGATTATAATTAAAATATTTTCCTATAACCATTGACATAAAAACTAACCAAGTACAAAAAAAAATTTAAAAATCTAATCAATATTCGGACAAAATAAAGATACGAACAAATCTTAATGCATCGACAAACGAACCACAAAAGGGGATGAAGCTGCTGAAGACCAACGACAAATCACAAATTATAATCAAGCGACATGAGAAAATTATTTGAACACAAAAAGCATATCCAAATCAATCCGAGTGTCTAAAGCAGAGAAGATCAGTATGATAACAAATAAGTGTCATCTTGATCAGTCGTGGCGATGTCAAATCCAACTCTGAGTAAAAAGATAAACGAAAATAACGGAAAAAAACCGTAAACTACCAAAAGCCAGAGAAAAACGTGCCATAAAGGCAGAGGTAAAAGTGTCATAAAGACAGAGAACATGTCACAAAGGCATAAGTATTCTTATTAAAAACTTAAAAAAATAAAGAAAAACAACAACTGGCGAGCGACAACCAACATCAAAATCAGTGTTGTCGCCGGTTAAACAAAATTAAAGAATAAAAAGTTATATTAATCAATAAAATTGATACAAGTTATAAAGAAGAAGAAAAATGAAAAGAAATGAGGAAGAATTTGGCTAGGGTTTTAAAAAGACACTCTTTTTAGATCTTATATGAGGAGAAATCAAAAGGTAATATTAGAAGGAAACTTTATTGTGAGAAAAGTTTAATGTTTAAATAATCTTTTTAGTTTAACCATTTTATATAAATTCGAATTCAGACAATATAAGTACAGACACTCTTTGCTCCATTCCTAGGCAGCATCAAAGGCGGTTGGGGGGCTTTAACCACATTGATCTGATAAAATTGACCTTAATCCCTTAAAACTTAGGGACGAAGAGAGGGACAGAGTGGCTTTCCCCCAATGGAAATTTAACTTATAGCCCCTTACAAAATTATGTAATTATAAACCAATCCAATGGAACATTTGCTCTGACCCCTCTAAATATATCTTAATTTTTAAATTAGGTATAATTGTTTACATTAATTAACAATATACAAATTTATAAAGCAGCGTTGCATTAAATACATGGAATATACTTGAACTATAAAACAAGGCACACCAACAGAGCTGCTTGGCTTAATACTACAAAAAGAAGAAATGAAGAGACAACCGAAAGCCAAAAAAAAGAAACCATTATAGTCATCATCATTACAGTGAGAATTGTCCAAAATTATCGTCGTAATCATTGCATAATTGTCGTAACATCAAACTTTCTTTCTTCCATATCTAGAAAATGTATTATATAAAGGATAACCCTACGATTACTTTCTTCCATATCCATAGCTACGAGCAACTACCGCCTCAAGCTCTCCACTATGTAATCCGCGTATAAATCCCTATATAACAGAATGTTCAAATGCAATTAAAATCACAGACAAAAAGAATCAAGGTACAGGATTAATCAGTTGAAAATTGCTTAGAGATAGGAAACTGTCACTTACATGGAATGCTTGATGGCCTCATATGCAGTGGTGGCGGGCAGAAAGTCATTCACAGCTACTTCCTTGTTCTCATTCTTTTTGTCTGAAAAAACATTTAGCAAGTCGAAAGAAGGTTATAAATGCAACTTATACCACCTGCTTTGCCGTAAGAACAATTGAACTTACAGTCTTCAAAGAAGCGGCGAATCTCGGCCAGACGGTGAGGTGGAAGTTCCTTGATATCATTGTAGTGACGGTACTCGGGATCATCAGCACAAACGGCAATGATCTTGTCATCTTTCTCACCCTGCATTCATGGTTGTGGATTTTATTGTTCTCATTTGCTCTTAAAGAGTATACAAAATCAAGAGTTCTTTTAATCAGTGGTTAATGTATACCTGATCAATCATTGGCATCAGACCTATAGCTTTAGCACGAAGAAAGCACCCTGGAAGAACTGGTTCCTGCAAGTATTTCCATGGTGTATTGCAGCGAAAGTTTTAAACGCTTTGAAAATGCACAATATTTCAAGGAAAAATATAATAGGACAGGTTTGGGCATTGTCAGGTGTATGGCAAAAATAATTTCAGTAATTTAGTCAATGATTTCACTGTATGGATTGGACGGTGTTAAGATCTCAAAGTGCAATGGAAAAACCAAACTGGCATAAGACAGTTTAAGAGCATGAAACTGAAGTGGATGCCTTTATCGGCAGCAAATTAGAGTTTTATTTGTTTCCTCCATTACATTAGATCTTTATTTCCCTTGTAAACTTTAGTCTTGCTAATCAAGATCCCTATATGTTAGGAATTTTTATTTTATGTCCACTAGGACACTTTCCATTGTCATTAAAGGCCTATCAGAGGCTGCCATAAAAGAAACAAGCAATTACTCTATCATAAATGTCATGAGATCATGAATTAAACTATGATATTTTCAATAAAAATGAGAATCAAACAACATACCTGCATTATGATCAGGACATCCAAGGGATCTGCATCTTCACAAAGAGTACGAGGGATGAAACCGTAGTTGTGAGGATACACAACTGATGAATAAAGGATACGATCAACCTGCAAATTTATGCACCTTTCATCAGCAACCAATTAAGATAGGTATTGCAACTTCTGCAAGTACATGTGGGTAGCGCTTGGTAATTACCATAATCAAGCCAGTGTTTTTGTCAAGTTCATATTTCACCTTGCTCCCTTTCCCAATTTCAACCACCTAAAAACATTAACCGCATCTTCAATATGTCAAGAATATAGTAAGGACACTAACTGCTGATTCTTCATTCCATTTCTCAAATAAAAGAATTGCACAAATATTGATTCTTCATTCCATGTCTCAAATAAATCCCAATGATGATTAATGATAAGTCAAATGGACGTGTCAAAAGATCTAAAAAGCCAAATGTTTATAAGAAATGTGCGAGGGACAATCAATCGGTTTACTTAAGCATTTTATCCCATCCTAGACATGCTACTCAAAATGTAATAATCAAGAAGGTAAAGTTTAGTATACTTACGCAGTTGAAAACAATGGGAGCTCCAGGTCCTATAATAAATAATAGGAAAAGGTAGAATACTAATAGATTTACAGCAAATCAATTAGAAAACCCAAAACTATACCCAGCTAAAGCTGACATTACATACCGATCTCAAGATCATGCCATGGGTGAGCAGCGATGGACCTCCTGGTCATTGAAGAAAGAATCCTTTCATTCAAAGGAGGATGTGAAGAGTTTTGAGAGTCAAAGGACTTGGCTGGAGTCTCAACTGGTGAAGCCATCACTGTGTGTTACACACCATGTTGGCAACAACTAAATAAGATATTGAATCAAATTTACTGCGCTAAAATAATTCTCAAGCTAGAAATAAACATGAATAATAAGCAATGATCATAGAAATACCATTGATTTGGTGCATTTCTTTTCTTAATTTTCCTCTCTTCTTAAAGATCATATAGCCTAACTAAACAAATGTTTGTAGAACTATGCAACGAAAACAAAATTGTTGCCGCACTTCGGCTAAAAGCCGTTTCACTTCAAGACACGGAGATTCTCAGCTTTGAAAGCCGAAGGTTCTCTTAGCAGCAGAGTATCGTCAAATATAACAATAAGAAACAGTTCAACGCAAAACTCTCAATAATCTGAAAGAAAACTGACATTAAAAAAAAGAATAATTCTGCAAATGAGCTCTTTTACTCTGTTTAGAAAAACGATCAAGACGATTTCTTAGCAAAGCCCCTCGCACAGCAATTCGACACTCGATCTTTTTTTTAAAGAAAATTTCTTCGAGTCAATAAAATTTATAGCTTATAAAACACAGATCTACAAACTACTACCACTTAGATCCACAGGAAAAAAAACAAGAAAATACAAAATCAAAACGCAATAAAAATTAGTACTGTCGTAACCGGTTTTCGTCCGGGCACGAAATATTAAATTTTGGCGGGGAAATTAATATTAATAAATAATTTTGAAAATAATTTGTGAGTCGCCATCGGCCTTTTTGGATCAGGTAGGTCGAATACCTAAAAATTATTTTTTAAAAGAGTTTTAAGAAAACATCAATAAAAAATTGAACTGATCTGCGTTTTATAACCAAAAATTCATTCTTTTTAATAATAAAAAGGGATTCGTGGTCGGTTACGTTTAGGGAAGGATTAGCACCCCTACAACGCCCAAAATTGGTACTTTTTAATTATAAATTGTCTCTTTAAAAATTCAAAATATATTAATTTATAATCTTATAATTTCAAATTGTAAAAAAAATATTTATTTAAAAATATCCGAAAAGAACTTCTAGGTGCCTTAAGACAGCTTTTTTCTTTGATATTGATAAATATTAATTTAAATAATATTGTTTAATTTTAAAACATCAGAATAGGACATCCAGTTGTATTAAGACTGTCCTTTTCTTCGATATTAAAAATAATATTTAAGAGTTAATATTTATTATATATTTATGAATATATATCAAAATATTTAACAATATAATAAAATAATAATTCTATTAAACAATATATTTAAAAACAATAAAATAAATAAAGATATATAAAATTAATAACTAAATTATAAAAATAAAACTAATTACTAATTATTAATTAATTGAAATTATAGGGTTTAAATATATTTTTTATTTAATAATTTAATGACCAAAATAAACTTATCTAAAATTCAAATTTTATAATAAAATAGATTAAAAGTATGAACTAGGGACTAAAAAATTATTTATTAAAATTAAGGGATTAAATCTGTCATTTATCCTAAATATATTATTTAATTAAAAAGACTAAAATGAATAAAATTAAAATTCAAAGACCGAATTAAAATTCTTATAAATTCAGTTTAATGACCAAAATGTAAAGTTTACAAATATGAAGGACTGCGGAAGGGTTTTAACTATTTTGTAATTACGCGCATAGTCCTTCCCGAAACGACGTCGTTCGGGAAAGACTATAAAAGTCCCAAACCGGTTGGCCCGAAGGGCCAACCATTTCATTCCTCATTTCCTTCTCTCTCTCTAAACCGAGAGAGTTTAAAACTCTCTCGCCTCTCTCTAGCTTCCCTCACCGGAGGGAAGCCGGTCACCGGTCGGCCACCGTGTGCCGCCGTGTTTATCACTGCCGGCCACCGCATCCGGTGGCCGGAAAAATTTTCTTTACACTAATATATAGATCGGACCGTCCTAAGGACGGTTCCGGTGTTATTTCTTCCTAAAAGGCTCCCAATCGGAGCAAATCTACAAAAGTACCTTCGGTATTTTTGGTTCTCCGGCGATGTTCAGTGTTTCCGGCGACGGTCAAGGTTTCCTTGGTAAGCCTCTTCTTCCTTTTTCTTTTTTTTTTTCTTCTGGTTCTTTGCTGCTGAGATCGTTGGTATAGTTTGTTTATTTTTCTTTTCTTTGTTGTTTTTTTTTCTTTCTCTCCGGTTCTGTCTTTTTTCTCTGTCTTTTCTCCTTCTTTTTTTCAGGTGGGTGGTGGCTTTTATAGCCACCACCGGTGTTCGTCTCGGACCGGTCCGAAGAGGGGGCTTCGGTGAGTCACCGGACTACCAGTGGTGACTCACCCCGTAGCCTTGGCGTGGACGGCCGGTGTTCTAGCTTCTGGAGTCTTCGGCTGGGACGTGGCAGCGGCGGAGGCGGCGAGGGCTGTCGGCAGCCGCGTGGAAGCTGGAGCGGCGCCGCGTGGCCCTAGGGTATCAAACCCTAGGGTTCCTATCTGGAGCCATGTGGACCGTTGGATCATGCCAGATCCAACGGCTGTGATGAGGCGGCTGAGGATGATTAGGGTTAGGAAACCCAAATATTTAGGGTTTCCGGTTGGATTTGGACCGGTTTCAGTTGGTTTGTAACTGAGCCGGTTTAATTGTAATTGGTTTGTATTTAATATATTTAAAAAAAAATAATAATAATAAAAATAATATTAATAATGATAATAATAATATTAATAATAATGATAATAAAATGGATAAAAAAATAGTATCTTCAAGTACAAAGTGGTTTCAGCTCAAGATCAACACCAGGTAAAATTTCTCACCAGAAAGAAAAGAAAAGAAACTCAAGATATGTATCCCTGATTCAATGCTAAAGCCAAGTTCCAACTTACAGAAACCAGAAACCAGAAACAATCAGAGAAAAAAGCATAGCAGAAACAAGAAGAAACGGAACATAAAAGCGGGGAAAAGAAAAGAAAAGAAAAATGAACGATGTAACCGTCGTAAAATAGGTTTGAATCGTACCTGCAGCGATTTCCAGTTCCCAACAAAATGAAGCTTTCAAGGATCTTGAAGAAACAAGCAGATCTCAAGAGCAGAGAGAGCAAAATCAAAAGGATAATGTGCAAAAAGAAAGCTGCCCGTTCCCGCTATCTTTCTTCGTTTCTATTTAAAGGCAACCCCCACATACACCGAAATGGAACAGAGGGGGGAAAGAGAAGAAAAGAAGTTAACGTTTTGGTGTGACAGAAAAGATGGGATTGCGGATATTCTGCGGAATAGAATAACTAATGTGGGTCTCGGTTTTTATACCTAAGACAACGTGTCGCCTCATTATTGGTAAGTAAGGAGACGGGGAGTTGGGATTCACTGATGACGGGGACGGATGTTGGGGATTGACCCCAACTTTGAATGGACGGTGAACATCTTAGATTTTGAGTAAATTACGCGTATAGTATCTAATTTATTAGTTTTAGTCTATTTTAGTATATAAACTTTCAGTTTTTTCAAAATAATACTTAACGTTTAATTTTTTGTTTATTTTAATACCTATCCGTTAAAAATTTAATGTTTTTAGTAATTGGTCTACTTTAATACCTAAACTTTTAATTTTTTCAAAACTTAGCGTTAAGTTTTTAATGAGGTACTAAAATGAAACAAAAACTAAATATCAATTGAGATTTTAAAAAAATAAAAGTTTAAATACTAAAATAGATTAAAATTAATAGTTTATATACTAAATACGAATATATCCTATATTCTTTTACATTAGGGTTTACTACATAAATAATAGCAAATGTTTAGGACGCTTGTTTTTTTGTCGTTATGTTTGCCAAATTATATATAATACTTTTACACTATTTTTTATTAATATTTTGTCATTATTTTTAAATTTCAGTATTATGCATTATTTTTATATTTTTTTTGTTATGTTTGCCAAATTATATTATTTCTTAGGATATACTTGATATTAAATAAGGGTAAATTATACCATTGACCACTCAACTATTTAGTCTTTTTTATTTTTATCATCGATCTTTTAATTTTTTCAATCAGACCATTTAACTATTTAATTATTTCAATCAAGCCACTTGTCGTTAGCAATTAACAGAAGTGTTAACGAGGCAATTAAAGAAATTGACATAATTATACATTTAGTCCTCAATATTTATACATTATCTCAATTTGATAGTAATTTTAAATTAATTTAGTAAATTAATTCTCTAGTCATATTGTGACACGTGTTACACGTATAGAATATATTTTTTTAATTTAATTATTTTATTTTCCACCCAAACACATGGTAACACGTCACCATCAAATTGGATGGAAAATTGGTAGTAGAAGAAGAAATTACAAATAGGGGTCTTGGGAGACTCAAACATGGATAAGGATGGTTGAGAAACCAACACCCAAACCAAGCTAGGAGCACTTCTTGGATTCTAAATGCAACATATAACATATAAGATATTGTTATGAAAGAAAGAACAAGAAGTTAAAAGAATAAGGAATAATATATATATATATATTAACTCAAAATTATTTAAAAACTTAAATTATTTGATAAATTTAACAACAATTTATATATTTATATATAATCATTAAATTATTTTTTTTAACTTAAGTAACAATTATTTTCTTTCTTTCATTTATTACAATATGTTAATAGTTAAATTTAAAAAATATCTTCAATTTGTGGTGTGACACGTGTCTATGATTAAATTAAAATAAAATATATTCCATTCACTGTGTGACACGTGTCACAATATGTTTAAAAATATCTTTTATTCGTGGTGTGACACGTGTCACCATATGATAGGATAAAAAATAAAATAATTAAATTAAAATATATATATTCCATTCGTGGTGTGACACGTGTTACAATATGATTAGAAGATTACATTTATTAAACTAAATTAAAATTAGGATCAAATAGATATAATGTATAAGTATTAAGGATTAAATGTATAATTATACCAATTTCTTTAACTGACACGTCAACACTTTCGTTAATTAGGGGTGAGCAAAACTCGACTCGACTTAAAAAAATCGATTTTTTTTGTCTCGATTCAACTCGAAAAAACTCTACTCGATTGACTTCGAGTTTCAATTTAATAAACTCGACTAGACTCAAAAAAGTTTCAAGTTCAAATCGAGATGTAAGATGCAACTCGAATAACTCAAATTTTTGAATAATTAGTGAACTTATTTTCAAGTTTAAGTCGAGTCCTTAAACTTTGTATGATATATGTATATCACGTATAAAAAATATGAAGAAATATATTTTGTATTATATATATATGGTTATAGAAAATCACTTAAATTGGAATCAAATAATATTATAAATATTTACAATTAAATTTAAACAGAAACTTGAAAATTGAATCGACTCGAAATTTTTTTAAATCAAGTATGAGTTGTAAAATAGTACTTGTCAACTCGAATAATTCAAAATTTTTTGACTCAACTCGACTAGATTTAACGCTTACCTCTGCTATCAATTGTTAATGATAAGTGGCTTGATTAAAACAATTAAGTAGTAAAGTGGTCTGATTGACAAAATTGAAAGATCGATGGCAAAAGTAAAAGGGATAAATAGTTGAGTGGTCAATAGTATAGTTTACCCGTAAATTAACAACCAAAAATAGCTTTTAATTTTTCCATATGGTCTAATCGGGATATATATAAATTTTTAATGTTGAGAGATAATTTATAAAATTTTAAAATACATTTAACTTATAAACTTTTAGGGAGAGTGAAAACAATTTTTTAATTAAATATATAAATAAAATATTTAAAATATATAAGATTTTTTAATAAATTAAATATATAAAAAATTAATTTTTTTTAGAGAAAACGACTATCACTACATGTTATTGTCTTAAGGGCTATTTGGTTACTTCATAATGATTAAGTGTTGAATGATTCAAATGTTGAATGATTTAAATGCTGAATGATTCAGAGGCTCTGTATGAATTAGCTCTGAATGTGACATGTTGTTTGATAATGACTCTGAATCATTCAGAATGTACTTCTGTGTTGAATCATTTAATACTGTTTTGTTGAACCAGTCAACACTGAATCATTCAGAGGTGCGAAACAAACGTGCTGAATGATTCTATTAAGAGGCAAACAAACAACCCCTTAATCTATCCATGAACTTAATCCTAATACATCATTGGAAGAAGACATCCTCTCTAAATATCAAAAGAATATATCATATATATACTTGTTATCATGTCATTCATGAACCTAGTCAATAAAAAAATATTTAATGCATTTTTTAAAATTGAATCTTTATTTTTTTCCTATGTAAATATTGAAGCAAATAGAAGTTAATTATGAATGAATTAGGAACATGAAAAAAGAATAAAATGATTAATTTTTACTGTTTGGGACAATTGATAACATGAAAAAAAAGTTAATTATAAATATAAATTTTTATAAAATAGATTTCAAAAAATGATTTATCTAAAATGAGTTACATTACTTAAAAATATTTTAAAAAAATAATATTATTTATTAGAAAATAATAATATTTTATATCAATATTATTGGGAAAAAATAAAATTTTATATCAATTTTATTAAAAAAATAATAATATTTTATATCAAAATTATTAAAAAGTAACAATATTTTATGCCAATATTATTTATTAGAACATTTTGTTTAATAATATTATTAAAATATTATATCTACAATTTTATAAATAAAAATATTAAGTACGAACCAAGCGACCTCGGTGGTAAAAGAATTCTTGTTATTCCTTGAGGTCTCGGATTCGAGCACCATAAATGCTAGTGGTGTGAGCGTTCAATGTCAAATGGTGGAGAGTTATCTATGAACCAATATTGTCTTGTACTTATCTCAGATTAATAAAGAAATCAATAAAAATATTAAAATTGTTATAAATTATGTATTAAAATAAGAACAATAAATTATTAATTATATTAATTACTTATTAAAATAAAAACATTATTAAAATATTAAATTTATAATATTAAAATAAAATTATTATAATATATTCTAAATTTATTAATAAATATATTTTAAATATTCAATAATATTATTCTTATGAAAATAATAAATAATGTTACTTTTATTAATACTATATTATTTATTATTAAAATTAAAGTATGATATTATATATCACAATAATATAATTATAACATTAAAAAATATTATATTATATTACTAAAATTATCAATAAATATATTTTAATAATTAATATTTTTATTAAAATAATATATCAACATTAAATATATAAAATAGTAATATTTTGAATATTCATGTTTTGAATAGAGAAGTTTATAAAATGATTAACAAAAAATCAAATTATAAATTACATTTTAGAAAATGCAAAGGAAATTTTGTTGATTAAATTTCTTTTATCTCGTCAAGTTTTGAAGAGAAAATAATAACATTAATAAAATTTTACATTGATATAGAAAATCAGAAAAGATATTTGATGAATTGACGATGAGAATTTAAAAAGACCAAAATTAAAGAGATTCAATTAGATTTTTTTTTTAATTTTGAAAAAAAATATTGAATTAAAATTTTATAGAAAGTTAAATAGTTTATTAATATTAATATTGAAATAGAGTTTTATGAAAAATTGAATAGTTTATTAACATTAATATAAAAATCCAATGATGACAATTAACACTTTAATAAACTCATAACTCTATTATTTTATTTTACCGTTTTTAAATTTATTATCAAGAAATAAAAAAATATTAATATTAATTTTTTTAATTTGTGAGCCCCGCCCCCTCCTGCCTTGGCCAGGGCCGTTGTTTATCGATAATTCGATACATAATTAATTAGTAATAATAAAATAATTAGATTACAATTTTAACGAAAATTGAATAATATTTATTTATTTTGAAAGTAAATTATTTTGAGCCGCTGGATCGAGGGTGTCGGATGCCAAATTCGCAGCGCATCTATCTCCGGCTAATCGGAGCCGTTTAACTAACAGCTTGAAGTAAGCCCCGTCGTTTTCTTCAATCACCCATTTTCTGTCCGTTGATGAATACCTCCGCTAGATCCACACAAATCCAACGGTTGGGGCTCCAACCTGAAACTTATTTCTTCAATATACTATCATTTCTATTTTCTTTTCTTTTCCTTTCCTCTATTTCTCTTTTTATGAAAAAAGAAGAAAAAAAAGGAAATAGGTTTTGTTCAACGGCCGATCGGGGCTGACGACCAGATCCGGTATGATTCGTTCAATTTTCGGAATAAAATTTAAAAACATTTAATTCTATTACTTGAACCTTTTTTCTCCTTTCCCTTTTTGCATTGATTTTAACGCCGATTTTTCCCCTTCATAATTGTAGGGTTTGTTTTCGATAAATTCCTTATATTTCCATGGCTGCTCCACCTGCTAGAGGCTAGAGCTCGAGCCGATTACGACTACCTCATAAAGTTCCTTTTGATCGGCGATAGCGGTAACTTTCTATTTCTTTTTGTTTCGGAACTACTCATCAGACCTACAATTTTCGTGATAAATGTTTGGGATATTTAACATTATTTATTTATTTATTTATTATTCTTATTTCTCAATATGCAAGACCTTGATGTGAGATTGTAATGTTCATTTCATGATCATTGCCTTAGATTCAACTTGATTTAAGTCTACAGATGATCTTTTTGTTTTTCTCCTTCTTTCTTTCTTTTTTTTCTTTCGTACAGGAGTTTGTTTTAGTTCCTTATTAATGATATTTTGGTCTTGTACTTTGTATTTGGTAATGTATTTCATCTTAGTATGGCTTATCGTCATGGAACTTCTGCCTCATTAGTGTTACTGATGCTGAATATTTGAGTCGTATTTGTTCATTTGCATTAGGAAACTTTTTTTTCAATTCATGTGATCAACTGATATAAATAGTTATAATTGTCTGTAACTAGGGATTATAGGTTATCTTGGAGTGATTTCGAGAAGAGTTTTTCTTGATATTCTGCACTTTCTTTTAAATTTGAGTTCTCAATAATTCTATTTGCTTATACTATTGAGTGGTTGGCAGGTGTGGGTAAGAGTTGCCTCCTTTTGCGTTTTTCAGATGGTTCATTTACTACAAGTTTTATCACTACAATTGGGTAGTTTTATTTTTTCCTTATTGCAGTACTGTGGTCTTCATATCATTTTTACTTTTATAAGGGACATGTGGTTTAAAGGTTGCGTTTACTTTGGCAGAATTGACTTTAAGATAAGGACTATAGAGCTTGATGGAAAAAGGATCAAATTGCAAATTTGGGATACTGCTGGGCAAGAGCGGTTTCAAACAATTACAACTGGTTAGTTTTTGGAATTTGGAGTTGTCACTGACTAGATACATGTCTAATCAGAATTATAACATATATGATTGATAAAATAGTTTCATGGCATGACTTTGGCATTGTTCTGACTCTAGCTTGTTTGTTGTGTGTGTTTGTCATTCTGTAGTACGAGTTACCACTTGTTCTCACTATTATTATCATATTCAATGACCTCTCTGGTGTTTTTGGTCTGTTAGGAAGTCGAGAGTTTTTATGCTTCCATGGTTTCATGCTTTTCAGCCCACCATTGTTATACTCTCTATTGTATGACAGGACTTACAAAGAACAGGTGGTTGGGATTGAAATTGTAGATGTGCAGCCTTTCATATTTCTGGATACTCTATGTATAGATTAAAGGTGTTTGCAATTAGTGTTAGCTCTACTGGTGAGTGGTGATGAAAATTTTATGTCTGCATAGTCTTTTCTTTCACACTCCAAAACATGGTTACTTGTTCTTTTCGTCTAAGTTACTTGTCATGTTTTACCTTTATGGGGCACGTGCAGCGTTCACTTTATTTTAGTAGCTCCAGATGTCTAATCTCTCTAATACATTCAGATTTTATTTTCTTCCAGAGTCTTGTATGATGTACAGATGAACTATGTAACATTTTCATTTTGCGCGGCTTACTACCGTGGTGCCATGGGTATTTTTTTTTGATAGGAATAAAAGGCCTCCAAAAAAACCCCCTTGGTGGTTAACGGAACTTAAAAATAGTTCCTTGACCCACACAAGGAGGAAAGGAGTGCCCTAGGATTCAATAAATTCAAATAAAACAAAGTATACAACCCATCTCCCTCAAGAGAGATAAAACCAAAAAGAAACAGTCCTTAACAGAGCATAATTCACCCAATACCCGCCTTAGCTAGGACATCCGCCTCTATATTGGCTGTCCTACTAACCCACCTAATAAAACCTTCAAAAACACTAAGCTTTTGAATAATGTCTTTAACTATTTGAACATAAACAACAGGACAAGAGACCACATCCTTAATCCAGTCAACTGCCACCTGACTATCACTCTCAATAATCAGTCTATCTTTAACCCTATGACGAATAGATTCAAAAAAATCTAAACCCTTTAGGATAGCCTTCAATTCCATTAAAGTTGGGGGCCCCGGACCAGCCGGCTCTTTGAAGGAACCAAGAATCGAACTAGACATGTCTTTCAAAATACCACCTAAGCCACTCCTCTTCCAATCACTCGAGGTAGCCGCATCCACATTAAGTTTAACAAAACCTTTTGGAGGTGGGGACCAAGGAAACACGGTTGAAACCCGATAAGAATGGGATGAGTAGGAATCCACTATGGACGGGTCAGCAATAATATCATCCTTGGAAATACTAACATGAGTTTCCTTAGCTAGAAACCATGAAGCAAGCCTGCACCTTGCAAGAAAGAAAATCTCTGCTCGATCAAGCTTCCCTCCTTCAAACACAATAAAATTCCTGGTCTTCCAAATTGTCCATAGAACAGCTCCAGGAATGAATGGCCAGATAAGAGAGTTGGACTTCAAGTCATTCCAAGCCAATAGGAATCTTTTAGCCTCTGTATGAAAAACCGATTGAAAATTCCAATATCCCAAGAATTTCATCCAAATTGGCCAAACAAACGAACATGAAAAAAATAAATGCGATGAAGACTCCTCTTCAAGATTACAGAAAGAACACAAAGTATCATTTATGCCCTGAACACCTCTCTTAACCAGAGCTGTCTTGACCGCCAACTTCTTTAATATAACTTGCCAAAGAAAAGTCTCAACTCTTGGAGGCAACAGACCCCTCCAAACATTAGACTTCCAAAATTTAGCTTCCTCTGAATCGGGAGAACCCGAATAAGATAGGTTGACACATGATTTCACTGTATAAACCCCTTCCCCATTCCCCTTCCAAAACAATCCATCAGTGGCATCAGCAGAAATAGAGAAATCAGAGATCACAACCATCAAATTTGCCCATTGCTCAAATTCCCAGTCATTCAACTCTCTCCTCAACTGAACGTTCCAAATCCAACCCCTTGAACTGAACTCCCCAAACTGAGTTAATCTTCCTTCTTTATTTACTGCAATAGAAAATATTCTAGGGAACAATACCATCAACGGATGATCCATAGTCCAATTGTCTTGCCAAAACCGAATGCTCCTCCCATTGCCAATTTTAAAGCTATATTTACCTCTGATACTACAGCCCAACGAATCAGCATTATAATGGTTTCTCACCATATCTCTCCACATCCAGGATAGTTTAGGAGAGACTTTACTGTCAAACTGCATCAAGGAAGGATCCAATTTATATTTGATGCAGAGCAATTCCCTCCAAACCGCCTCCCTCTCAATAGCAAACCTCCAAGCCCATTTTTCCATGAGTGCCCTATTCACCACCTTTAAATTAGGAACCCCCAATCCTCCTTCAATTTTAGGTTTACAAACATCGGACCAGCTTACCCAATGTATCCTCTTTCTCCCATCACCACCTCCCCACAAAAATTTGACATGATAGAATTTAGAGTCTTGTAAACTGATGCTGGAACCTTGAACATTGACAAAAAGTAAATAGGGAGTGAGCATAGCACTGATTTAATTAGAACTAGCCTGCCTGCCAGTGACAGAGAGGAGCCTTTCCATCCCGCCAGCCTCTTATTAAAGCTTTGAACCACTGGATCCCATAGGATGTTGGAGTTCCTATGTGGACCTAGAGGGAGTCCCAAATATTCTGAGGGAAAAGAGCCCACTGAACATCCAATCATAGATGCCCAACCCTTAATTTCCTCTTCCTTTAAGTTCACTCCAAATAATTTACACTTCTTTAAATTCAGCTGTAGACCAGAAATAATCTCAAACACCCGAAGAACCCTCTTTACATTCAAGATCTGTTTTTTCGACGCCCCACAGAACATAATAAGGTCGTCAGCAAATTGCAAATGGGTTAAATTAAAATTCCTCTCCTCCTTTCTAATGACCAGACCCGAAAAGAGCCCTCGTGAAACAGCCTTCGCTATTAAAAGATTCAATAGTTCCCCAACTATATTGAACAACAATGGAGACAAGGAACAGCCCTGCCGAAGACCCCTCGCCATAGGAATTTCCTCAGTTGGGACTCCGTTCACCAAAACTGAAACAGTCGCTGAAGTGACACATTTCGAAATCCAACCTATCCATCTAGAACCAAAGCCCATTTCCTTCATTATTCTGAACAAAATAGGCCAGTCAAGAGTATCATATGCCTTCTTGAAATCAGCCTTAAAAACACCCCTTTCAAACCATTCTTCCTCCAAAAGTCAATCCCTTCATTTGCTATAAGAGAACAGTCCAGGATTTGCCGACCGGGGATAAAAGCGAATTGACTTGGACTGATCAAATCTGAAATGCAGCTCCTAAGTCTTCTTGACAGACATTTCGATAGTATCTTATACAATCCACCAACAAGGCTTATAGGTCTAAATCGTCCAGTCCACCAATGTTAGAAATCTTAGGAATAAGAGTGATGAAAGTGTGATTTACACCATGTTCCCATTCCTTCCCCAAGTAAAAATCATGAAAGAATTTCATAATATCTACCTTCAGGACCTGCCAAAACCTCTTAAAAATCCCAAATTAAAGCCATCAGGACCCGGAGCTTTGTTGCTGCCACAAGATTTCACCACTTCCCACACTTCCTCCTCAGAAAACTCCTGTTCTAAGAACTGCTTCTGCTCCAAAAAAATTCTGGGAAAATCCAGATTCAAATCATCAAGCTCTAGAGTAGTTCGTTCATTATAGATCTTAAAAAAATACTCTTTAACTATGGCCTTAATTGCCTTTGGGTCTTCCACTGTTTCCCCTTTGAAGTTTAAAGCAAGTAGAGCATTCCTTTTATTCCTAATCGTAGCACAAGTGTGGAAGTATTTAGTATTGCGATCCCCATCAACAATCCATTTAGTTCTCGAGTACTGAAACCAGATCTGCTCCTGAATCCTGTAAAGCTTCCACAATTCTGCTCTTAGATTCTTCAATTCAACTAATACCTCACTGTCAACCGTTCCTTGCTTCTGTTGAATATCATCCTCTATCAACGAAATTTTCTTCTCTAACTCAGAAATCAAAGCACCTGGATATTTCACTCTGTTCCCAGACCACTTCTTAATTGCATGTTGGTGTTCCTCATCAGACTAAAAACGCCTGCCTCGTTCTGACTACCCTTACCACTCTGAAAAGAAGAAACAACCAGATCCTCAAAACCCTCCTCATCCATCAAATAATTGAATAATCTAAAGGGTTTTCTGCCCCAGTCCACCCCTTTATTCTCCAGAACTATAGCATTATGATCTGACAAGGATCTTGGTAGAAGCGACTGCACAACGCCCGGAAACAGCTCTAGGAAGCGACAATCAACCAAAAAACGGTCCAATCTAACAAAAGTGGGATTATCTTGGTTGTTACACCAAGTGAACCTACCCCCGTTCAAAGGAAGATCAATCAAACCCGTATGGAGAATGAACTCATTAAAGATCTCCATTGAACTCCTACTTTGACCCCTTCCCAATTTCTCATCTTCTTGTAAATATACATTGAAATCCCCTCCGACACAAATGGGATAAGTCTGCCCACTAAGAAAACTGCTTAATTCTTCAAAAAAAACCAGATTTCTCCTCCTCCACTGATGGACCGTAGACATTGATGAAACCACACCCGGAATCAATACTCCGAAATTTACCGAAAGTAGCAATGAATCTCCTGCTAACAAACTGATTCTCCAGCTCAAAAACATTATCATCCCAACAACACAACAGGCCCCCCGCTGATCCAACTGAAGGAGATTCCAAAATTCCTTTAAGTTTATAAATTCCACTTCTCCTAAAAAAAGACTTCCTAAATTTCTCAGTCTTAGTTTCTTGCAGCCAAAGAAAAGTAGGGTTAAAGTTGGAGACTAAATTCTGAACAGCCCTCCTTTTCTCGTTTTTCCCCAAACCCCTAACATTCCATGAACATATTACTAGCTTTGTCATCATCAAAAAGGAAATAGGTGCAGACACACTCCTCAAACAACCAATCCTTTATTAACCCCATTTACGCCTTTCTCTAAAGCTATGATTTTATCCAAAAAGGCTTCTTTCCCTTCCTTAAAAGACACACCCAAAAGCTTGCTAACCTCCCAAGTTTCCACCGCTTCTTTCAACAGAATCGAAAAAGCTGAGGAGGATGCTGTATCAATGCTCACCTTGTCAAGGGCTTCACGATACAGGATCCTTTTAGTTCTTCTCTTCCTTCTAATCAGCAAACCAGATTTGGACTTTAGGCCACCACCTTCTGAAAAGTAACCTTCAATCTCCCTTCCTACACTCCCACCCCCATATCCTTTGTCAAGATAAGGATCAAGACTCCCCTCAGCAATGTTCTCTGCTGATAAACAGAGCTGAATATTCGTACTGGAATCAACATCTAACTCCCTCTGCTTAACTACGGCATCCCCTGTTTCAGACGAGATGTTCAACAAATCCCCATACCAGTATCTTCTTTCCCTCGACCTGTTGTAAACCCTTTTACAATTGCTCAGACTTCTAGTTTCCAGCACATTACTCTCTGTTGTAAACTCCCTTCTAGACCGAATTAACTGCCTCCCCCTAGAGTTGTTATTTAAAACCTGTTCCGATGGTCTTAAGTTTTCTTCTTCGGGGTCTATCTCCACACTGAATGGCTTCTCTACAATTGGACTCGATTCCATTCCCTTGGACACTCCCCTGCATTTTCCTGATAAATGGATGTTTTCAATAAATTCCCCAAACTTATTAATTGTATATGCTGGCCCAGAAATAAAACCCGAAAAGTATTTTGACCCAGTCTGCCCAGATTCTTCAGAATGGGCCTGAGATCCATCAGCCGAAAAATTTTGACTTCTAATCCCCAAACCTGCATACTCACCAACTTTAAACTTTCCAACAGTCTGACTTTCTGACAGACCACATTAATATCTTTCCTATCTAAGGAAAGTCTTGCTAGCTGTCTGTCCTCACTAGCTCCTCCAGAACATGAAACACTCCCTGGTCAACCCAATTGTCCACTGACAAACGATTTTCCCCTGCTGCGCAAGTCTCACCTTCCCCATGAACTGACAACAATCTGTCTTCATCCTTCTCAGACATCCTCTCTTCAAAAAATATCTCACCGGAATCCTCCACCGGAAAATTACTGAAAAACGAACTAGAGTATTCACTTGCTGATCCAATCTTGATACTTACTTTGTATGATCTTCCATACGATCCAAGAGTAATAACCTCTGGAACATCAAAAGGACTTTCCACCTTCAATAAGATTCTTGCCATGGTGAGATCTTCTCTTTTCCTTGTACTATCATGGATATCTACCACACTGCCCCATCTACCAGCCAACTTCTCGAAGAAGGGTTCATTCCAACACAGCAAAGGAACACCTTTTAATTCCACCATGCAGAAGGCAATTGGTTTCCCAGCTTCATTCAGTAGAGGTTCCACCCGCTCGAACCACTGTTTTAAAACTTCTTCCTTCTTACTCCATAACTCCAGCATCTCCTCATGAGATTTGAGGATTATCACACAAGAATTCCAGACATAGCCCCATCTCGCAATTTGAACATCGTGGCCTTCTTTTAATAATGCCGTCCGAATGAACTCCGCTTGAAAGGAGTATTTGATAATCCCTGTTAACGACCTCTTCACCCAGTTGGCGCTGTCTGTTGGGATATGCATCTCAAATATTTTCCCTTGACAGTCCTCCTCTGGATATCCTCAGACATTAGACCATTGTTCCCCCTTCTATTCCCATTAGACAACAGAGCATCCCTATAAGATCTATCATCCCTCCTACTTCTATTAATATTATCTCTATCTCTTGATTTTGAAGATTCTGCACTAAACTGACCAACATCATTGTTTGAAGAAGAAAGCAACACCCTTGACCTTGAACGTTCATCCTTAAATCTGGCAGGACTAACTGAGATCTTCCTTCCATCAATCACAATCCCGTTTAACTCCTCAACAGCCCTCTTCAGATCCTCCTCCCTCTTAAAATGAACAAAGGCAAAAGTAGAGAACCTGTATTTTGGATTTCTAGTCTGACTGGGAATAAAAACTCTCGTAACAGGACCATGAACTAAGAATAATTCCCTAAGCGTACGATGGGAGACCCTTTTACTAAGATTATCGATAAACACCGACCAACACTCAACCGGAACTGACTTTCCTTTCAAATTCTCTCTCTCTACGTTTTTCTCTCTCTCACTCATCTTGTTCTGCTTATGTGTATATTTTGGTGCCATGGGTATTTTACTCGTGTATGATGTGACTGATGAGTCATCTTTCAATAGTGAGTATTGAACTTTTTATCAATTAAATTTTGAAATTCATTCGCATTTTGTGATCTTGTCCATCTTTGAATCTTTAGATATATTTAATGTTTGCGTCGAATTTTGCTTGTTGAAACCTTTCGTTTTCCCTGCATGTTGAAAATTGAAAAATATCCCTTATCTAGTGATTTGAAATTTTATTCCTTCTCCATTATAATTGTCTTATGAGCTGTATTAATATCCTTTTTTGGCATAGACATTAGAAATTGGATTCGTAATATTGAACAGCATGCTTCGGACAATGTCAACAAGGTTCTGGTGGGTAACAAGGCTGACATGGATGAAAGCAAAAGGGTTTGTTTCTTCTTTCTCTTCCGTTTTCACGTGTGATTATGTTTATACGCTTTTTTTGTTTACCTTCTCTTTGCTGTATTGACCTTGATTCTTTTCTTGTCAAGTTGACCCTTAACTTATCGTTCAGGCTGTCCCTACCTTAAAGGGCCAAGCTCTTGCTGATGAATATGCCATCAAGTTCTTTGAGACTGTATGTAATTTACAGCAGATGTCTTAGTTACTTTTCTGGTGTTCCGTTATATTACCTGTATGCTCAAGAGCCACTATTTTGCAGAGTGCAAAAACAAACTTGAACGTCAAGGAGGTTTTCTTCTCAATTGCACGAGATATTAAGCAAAGACTTGCCGACAGTGACTCAAAGGCTGAGGTATGTTTTCTTTTGCACGTAGTGGTAGCTAACTTGCTATTTGTTATGCAAACCCATTTCTATTAATTCATACATTGTCCCATTTTGATCGTCTTGTCGATCCTCACTACAGCCACAGACGATTAAGATCAACCAACCAGACCAAACCGGAGGGGCTGCGGCAAATGCTCAAAAATCGGGATGCTGCGGGCAATGAACGAAACTTCGTTGAGGGTACATGTTCTTCTCTAGGGTGCTGTTTTGGTCCGTCAAAACTAATTTTGTTATGACTATATTATTATTGCTTGTATTCTCCTGCCTATCATTATTTTGTATCTGCAACTCTTTGGTGTGAAATGTTAGATCCATGCTATTTTAAAAAATATATATATTTATATTAAATTATTTTTCCAGTTTTGGAAGAAAATTGTCTGCCATTTTCTAATTATCGAGGAATGTCAGGCGAATCAACGTTTAATGTCAAATGATTGAGAGTTATTTTTGAACAAATATTATTTTGTGTTTGTTATATATATATATATATATATACACGCACACAAAAAGTTATACTTACTATTATTATTATAGAGCAAAACCATTTTTTTAAATTTTGGTTTTTATTAATTTAGATATAAATTTAAAATTGGCTGGCGAATTATTATATGTCCACTTATTTTAAATATTATATATATATATATATATATATATATATATATATATATATATATATATTATTTATTTTAACATCAGGTTTAGGGATGAACCTAAAGGAGGCAGGTAAGGGCAATCGGTCTCTTGAAAATTTTAAATTAACATATAATATAGATATTTTTAATTGATAATATGTTTTTATTTCCTATAGGATTTTGTAGTTTTATTCCTTTTTAAAATTTTAGAAGCTCATCTTATCTCACATAAAATTTTGTATTCGTCCTTGATTAGTTCTATTATGAGTCGTACTTGAAAATTAATTAATAAAATAAATTTTAGTAATCTTTCTAGTTTGATATAGATTTTAATCAACTCACGAGTTAACAAGAAGAATAAACTAAAAAAATAAATAAAGATAAACTATTGAATTTATCACTTTCGTTTTAATTTTGTATATGTTTTATTCGGTTTTGATAAAGTTATATTTCAATCCTTTACGTTATTAAATTTTAATCATTTACATTATTTATTCTTTTGATAATCATTTACATTATTGATTGTTATATTTTGGTCACGGAGTCATTAAATCATGTTAGTTTTATAACATGACATTAGTAAAATGAGTTATTTTTTTAATTTGACCATTGGATTTTAGACGAAATATTATTTAACTCTAAAATTTAAATAAAGTATCAATTTGACCCTTAAATTTGACCAAAGTCTCCCACTGTCAATGGCTACTTACACTGTTGTAGTTAATCATCGTTGATCGTTGTTTGCAGTTGTCACTGATGACTGTTGAACCAAAATTTTCTATTTCACTCTTTTTTTTACCTCCTAAATGTAAACACTCATTTTCGTCCGAATTTGGGTTTTTATTTATTTATTTGTATTATTATAGTAATATAGTATAATTTTTGAAAGTGTTTTTGAAAAATATAATATATAGTTTTCAAAAAAATATTTTTTTTGAAATATATAATTTTTTGAAACGTTTTTGAAAACTTATGTACAATATATAAGTTTTAAAACATTTTGAAAATTGTATAGTATATAGTTTTGAAATCATTTTGAAAATATAATATATAGTTTTTAAAAAACATTTTCTGAAAATTTATATATATAGTTAAAAAAAACATTTTGGAAAACTTATATAATATTTTTAAAATCATTTTTGAAAACTATATAATATATAGTTTTGAAAACGTTTTTAAATAAAATATATAGTTTAAAAATTATCTTTTTGAAACATATATAATATAATCTGTATTATTATTAATATTTATTTTATTTTATTTCATTTTATTAATCTAATTTAATTTCATTCATTATTTGTGTCAGGGTCCAAACGGGGTCCAAATAACGGGCCTGAACCAGTCTAGTAGCAAGATACGGTTCAGGGTCTGGGAAACCCTAGTCATACATGTCACAGGCGGCGCAAGTCAGGGGAGCCGTGCAGTCAAGCACGCAACGGTCAGATGTTCCGGCCGAGATTCCCGGGACTGACCCATCCCGGGATGGCCGGCCAACCACGAACGTTAGGCCCGAAGGGTACGGGAACGACCCCGTCATCATCGGAAACAGCCCTGTTGGGGGCCTATATAAATACCAACAGAGATATCATCAGGGGGGATACCGAGGTACCACCACACCGACCACCAGAAACGAGAACGACCGGCCAGCAGTAAACCACAACAGACCATCCTCAACAAGACCCAAACGGAGAACCCACAGAAAGACCACGTACAACAAGAAAACCAAACAAAACATTCAAAGCCAACCAACAGCAAGGTCGAGACAACCAGAAACCATCATCGAGAGAGAACATTTGTAACACCCCCAACCCGTACCCGACCCGGATATGAGTCAGAGATATTACATTGACTTTTAAAACACAACTCTTAACCAATAATAGCAAAATATTTGAACTTATATTAAAAAAATACGATAATATACATATTGTAATATAAGTTTACCAAAATATTCAGAGCATACACAACTTAACCCTTTAATTACATGCCAACTGCCATTTACATAACAAAATGACCTACTGATTAAGTTGCTTCTGATCTGGTGGTTGCAGGAGTAATGCTGTCAAGCTGCTTTACCTGTCTCGTCTACTTTCTCGGATCCTACGTGTGAAACACTCACACGCTAAGTCATCGACTTAGTGAGGCAATGTAATAATAATAACAAGGCAATGTAATGAAAATGTCATAATCATATGAAATGAGATGAAAGCATGTACTTAATCAATGTAGTCTACATCATCAATATCCATACCTGTAAGCATATTACTTTAACATTCATGAATTTGTATTAATAAGTTTATTGGCCCATGATATTATATTGAGAACCTAAGGTATCTGAGTATTGTGAGGTTTGCACTATGCTGTCACCACAGCTCGTATAAATGCACCGAGGTGCCGCGTAGAATTGCACCGTAGTGCCATATAATAATGTCCATAAGGACCACATAGAATTCCTTAAGAATCATATACATATGCTAGGGATCACATATGTGTCTCACCAGACTTCACACATGTTCCAAAGAATATATATATATCCCGAAGGACCGCGTAGAATTTTGTCCCGAAGGACCGCGTAGACCCTCTACCCTTGGCATGCCAACTATACCTATAGTTCTCATCTACATAACATGGGCTTTTACATTTCACGTAGTCTATATCGCGTAGATATGTAAATTCTTATCTTTTCACATAGCTCATAACTTTTCCTGCATATTCATGTCATATAATGCATGTTATATGAATTCATGTCATGTCTCATAATACAAAATATGATCATGTACCAAGATATAAAATCTAGACTTATCACAAGTCTAGAATTGAGTATATTTCTATAATTATGCTATGCATATGCACTCACCTATATTTCTTTGCCTTTTCCTCGATCGATCCTACTTGTAGATTGTTCCCGAACTCGTGTAGGCTCGGTATCTACATAAACATAATTTTCAAGATGATTATCAGATGTCTATGTCTTGAAATTAATCTTTAATAGCCTACCAATTTAAGGAATTAATAGTTTAGTCTTTCTCTTTTTTTATATGGGGGGAATCGGTTCCCCCCTGGGGGTATCGATTCCCCTCTAGCATTCTGGAAATTCATATTCGTTGAGGGGGTATCGATTCCCCTAGCCCAGAAATCCTATTTTTAGCTCGAAAATTATCTCATTTCAGCTCAAACATTCATATTTCACTCCCTTTAATACTCTTAACTTTCATACACTTACTTAAACTAATTATTATCCATTCAATACCTCTAAAACTAAAAAAACTAATCATCCATATAGAATTTAAGAATCTTACTCAAATTCCAACTTGTTCTAATTTTAATTCTATCACCTCATACTTCTTAATTAACTTATTGACAAGTCAAAAATCTTATTCAAACTTCAAAAACTCATCCATATCAAAATTTCATCTAAAAACTCATTTTCCAAATCTATCTCTAAAACACTTATCTTGTTGTCTTAATGTCATATAAGCTTTCCTTTAGCTTATATTAACATCCAAACTTCAATTTCCAAGCTAAAAATCAAAGAAACTACCAAGGTTCAGTTTCTTACCTTAAACTTGGGTCTTCACGTTTGGAAGAATAGAAGAGTGAAGAAGATAAGAAAGAAGGAAGAAGAGATGAGAGAAATCTGGAAACATTTGTTTCCTACTCAAGCCCCACATGGGTTATAATATAACCCCATAAAATTTTTAATTATTATTTTTCCTTGCAAATGACCATTTTGTCTTTAAATTCATTTCATATTTACTAACAATTATTTTTAAACTATATAATTATTCTACTTTAACCACCAAATTCTGAATTTTTACAATTTAGTCACTAACCCGTTAATTAGGATGTTACAAATCTCTCCCCCTTAAGAAAATTCGTCCTCAAATTTTCCTTGCACGAACAAATGAGGGTATTGATGTCACATATCTTCTTCACGCTCCCACGTTGCTTCTTCTACTTTGTGATTTCTCCACAACTCTTTGACCAAAGGAATAATTTTATTCCTTAGTTGCTTCACCTCGTAAGCTAATATATGAACAGGTTCTTCCTCATACGTCAAGTCAGGTCGAACCTCAATCTCTTCTGGTGTCACGATATGAGAGGGATCATATCTATATCTTCGAAGCATTGAAACGTGAAAGACGTATCTTTTCCATCTCAGGTGGTAAAGCTAGCCGATATGCTACAGGTCCTACTCTTTTTACAATCTCATATGGTCCAATAAACCGAGGACTCAATTTTCCTTTTCGACCAAATCTCAACACCTTTTTCCATGGAGACACTTTTAAAAACACTTTATCCCCAACTTCAAATTCAATTTCTTTCCTTTTTAGATCTGCATATGATTTCTGTCTGTCTGCTGCAACTTTGAGATTACTCTGAATTATTTGGACCTTTTCTTCTACTTCCTGAATCAACTCAGGACCAAGCACTTCTTTATCTTTGAGCTCGTACCAGTTCAAAGGCGTACGATATTTCCTTCCGTAAAGAGCTTCATAGGGAACCATTTTAATACTCGACTGATAGCTATTGTTGTAAGCGAACTCTGCCAGCGGTAAATACTTTTCCCATTATCCTTTAAATTCCATTACGCATGCTCTCAACATATCTTCCAATATCTGAATAGTTCTCTCTGATTGCCGATCAGTATGAGGATGAAAAGCCATACTAAAGTTTAAACGAGTTCCCAACGCTCCA